CGCGTTAATTCTATTCAGAGGGAGCTGTTAAAAATGTCCAAAATTGGCGGGAAAAAGATCTTTACATAATAGGTACATTCAATACAGTGCAATAGTCTCTATTTTTCGGGAAAATTAGACCAAAATAAATACAAAATACTTACTTAAATAATACAAATTTTACTTTATAATCTGAATCTGCAAATAAATCAAAAATCTTTAAGTTTCCTATAGCCTATTAAAGTTACACGCAAATGGAAGAGAAGATAAAACATTATTACCTATATCTTTATGAAGTGCGATGGTCGGGACATTGAAAGGTATAATAATAATTTAAGTGCTTCAGGATAATCGATTATTTCCTCTTGTAACAGTTTATAGACCCAAATAATAACTGAAGATAAATTTCTTTTTTCCACAGGTTTCATATAAGGTTGAAACTTATACTTATGAACTCTTTGGCTATAGATATCTTTCAATACAATCTTCCAATCTTTCAACTTTTATGTCGCATTGTCTATAATATATGTGTATTAGATATCTATATTATAATATTCGACTCTCGAAATGGTTATCATTTGAATATTATCAAATTCGAACAATATACGCAGTGATGTTTGATGTTTTAGTCGACAATTCCGTTTATGGCTGCGATTGGAAAATGCGTATCTACCGAATCGATCAATAGTGTAATAATTAATAAGTCTGAAAAAATAATCGAAGTAGGCCGCTGTTGTACGAGGAAAGTTAGAACGTTATAATATATAGGGTATTTTAATTTATATATCGTACGTAACGATAAATCATTGTAAACGAAAAATAATTCTGAGTGGAGCTCGATAAACTGGTAAATGATATAATATAGTCATGTCATGTCTCTAATAGTCCAGGTAACCATAAAATCAAAAAACTTTTGTCGGGAATCTAGAAAAAATGTTCAAATAAAATATTACTGGGGAAAATATCCTCATATTTTGAAATAATTTGGAACATTTTTACTAACTAAAAATATTTGCCAAAGAATAACCAAAAAAATAATTAAGCTAGGTGTGAATCGTTAAAAAAATGTTTCAAGTAATATACTATACCTAACGGAAATTCCGTATTTTTTATGAAGACACTACACTGATATTATTTTGCGTCCCTACCTATTTAACAAGTAATAAATCAAAAATATGTTTTACACTTCCAATAGTACTTGCTAATAATCTCTAATAAACTCAAAAAATACCTGTTATCTAATATCCAGATAATTTATTCATACTTTTTTTGTCTTAATATGAAAAATATATAAAGAAAACATAAAAAAAGTTTCTCTTCGAAAACACATTACACGTTGTCATCTTAATTCGGTGTTTTCAGTCTATTAGAGCCCGAGTACCTTCTGTTAGAAGTACTAAAACATATAATATATTATATATTGCTCATTAGGTAGACATAGACGTAAAATGCCGGTGTAGCGTCCTCTCAAGGTATGAAATTAAAAAAAAAAAAATCAGAGTATTAATTTTAATAAGACTAATAGCTGTTCCGCTTTACATTAAGAATCCAAAATAAATGAGTAGTATAACTCGAAACTGTACATATAATAAATTATTAAATTATGTTTTTGAATACTTCTAGACTTTAATGCACGTATAGAATGTTAATGTTTAATTTTTTTTTTAAATATAATAAATTATTATTCTACGCTATTAGCTAAATGATAAAACACATTCAACTTCAATAATTCATAATGATTTATCCATTTGACTGGTTCAATGTTTTAATTTAAATTTTCTAAGTTTAGTATCCTAAGACGTATTCAAATTATTAAAATCATAGCGTATTAGAGATTCGTAGTAGACATTACTTACTAAGTAATACATTTTAAGATTTTTCAACAAAAAAATCCCCTAAACTTTAATATTTTTTGCTTTTTGCTTTTCTTCCTTTATATAGCAGAGTTGTCGAACGGTTTTTATATTGTATTTACATAGTATAATAATATAAAAAAATATGTTTAAAAATCAAATATATTAATATAGAGACTTTGGCTCGGTCGTCGAAAATTGACTGTGATGATATTATATTATTTAAATTTAAATTATAGTACGAATAATTCATCATCGATGAAATATTTTTGCGCGTTAACGTTAACAAACAAAATTCGGATACCATCAGCTACTGGTATATAGTCACGGTTTATTTGTATAATATTATAATGTAGACGAATAATAATAATAAAAAAAATCGTTATTCTAAATTAAATCGTTAAATCGTTTAAATTCTACGTGTCCAAATTTAATCCAATTTAAAATCACGGAGAATTTGTAAAATACATTTTTGTACCGTATCGATTATTTTTTTCTTTTTAATACTTTTTAAATTACCTGTAATAAGTAAGTTACTAGTAGTAGTACATAGCTCGAATTCTATGTAGAAACTAGTTCATTGGTGCGTTTAGGGGCTTGCGAAAGGGACAATCGCCCGACGTGATAAAATGTTTAGTGGTTTTAGTTGGTAATTTATAGACAATAGAGGAAGCTAGGTTGGAAAACATTGAAAATGTTTGAACACGGATGAACCCATGTAAATAGAGGAGACACTTATTTTCGTCTGGGGCATAAACATCTTAAATGCGCCATTGAATCGATTTCAAACATTAATCTAAACCGATTTTTCCATATGGGTACGATACTAAATTTAACAAAAAATCGTTTTCCCTGAAATTTCAAAAACTATAATATGTATCTACAATGGGTAATAAAGTTTTCTCGCAGTCTTTCGTACCTGCCAAAATGTTCGAAATAAATATAAATAATTACCGTGCAATGTACAATATAGAAGAACGAAAACGGTCGTTTATCAAATCCGATTAATCCGAGTGCCTCGAGCAGGCCCGCGATGACTTCCAGGAAGTTTTTTTTATAACGGAACAAAAAAAAAACAAGTACAAAATGCGGACGCCGTACCCGTAGGACAGTAAACTGGGGAGCGGTGGCGGGGAAATATTATAAATTATTATTCCGATTTCCGGCGCGACCTGTTGAGTTCTACGTGCGGGTCATTCTCGTCCATCATAATAATTTTATGCTCGGCTAATAATTTAAAAATATAGGTGTGTTTTGGTGATGCATTTTTCGGTAATAATTTGCTGCATTTTCCATCATTCGATTGCAATATCCCAAAAAAAAAACCGCTTTGTTTACTGTTTATTTTTCTTATATTATGGCGATAATGACAATGTAATAAGACTATATGTATACTGTAGAAAATGAAAATTATTGAATAATTTGCTATTATAAGTATTTATGGTATATTTTGTAGTCTACAATGCACAATATTTCAGATAATAGTTAATTTTTTAATACAAATATTGAACTTTTTTCAAGGGGAGGAGGGTCCTTTGATTGTTATCATTATTATATTTATTTACTTTTTTTAATCTGCAATTTTCGTGAATATTTTTTTTTTGTTCGTCGCATACGTTTGTGTTGATTCATTAGTTGTTATATAATAATATTTTATAATATACTCGGATTTAAAGTATATAAATGTATTGAGCTATTGTAATGCATGTGTACTGTATGATATTGTATCATTTAAACATTTGTGTATGTTTTTGTCAATATACACAAATTTAAATACCTTTATGAATGAATAATATTAAAGAAAATAATCACGAATGGCACAAATATAAGTACGTCTTATGTAACAAAACAAATAATTTTAAGAAAAATTGTATTAACTTATTTCATACAATTTTCAAATACTAATCATTAATATTAGTGAATTTCAATTATTGGTTGATAAACAAAAACAATTATTAGATTCTGAGTTTAGCAAAGAATGTATTGGTTTTATTTTTTTATTATGTGAACACTTTTTCTACCAGAAAGTCTTGCTCCGATTATCAAGTACTTTTTCTCTTGGTGGTGCTTTGAAGAGGTTATTTTTTTGAAATTTTCATTAATATTCGAGATAGTAAGGAAAACCTGGTTCATTAGGTTAAACGATTAAAATATTAAAAATAAGATTGTCATTGGCAACCGTTTTTATAAATTTTTTGTTTGTATCATTTTAATATTTTTTAAACAATCATTGTTGTCATGGAAACGTACATTGTTATAATCATTTTACCATAATATGACATATATCTTGTTGACAAAGCAACACTATCAACTAAACTCCGCTCAGAATCGTTTATTCATTAGCAATGGTTTATCGTTGCTTACATAGATATACATTAAATTCCCGTCTGTATCCTACCTTCCCAACTTCCCACTTACAACAGTGGCTGCGCCCACGTACGACGTGTGTCCGTCCTTTTTTATTTCTAGATTTAGAACTCTATGAGCTGCGTCTTATAATGCTTATGAGCTGTGAATGTCATGAGTTGACGACTCGGTGTAATCAAAATATGGGTATGATTTCTAAGGAAAGTGCATGTGACGGTGACATTTTATCCTTTTTTCGGAGCCACTAACGTTAAATTATGAATAGAAAAAACAATGAAAATCACTGAATATTCTTCATTGTTTTATTTTATTTTTTTAATATTCTCGTAAATAGATTAATGATCGGAGTTTGAAAACACACCGGTCAGACCCGAAAATATTTAATATTATATGTACAATAATTTACACGGTTCCCCTGACAGTAATAATAATTAGCGTCGTTCTCGGGCGGCGGCGGTGGCGACGGTGCGTCGTACAGTCAGGGCGGGGAGAAAGACGCGGACGATGACGTCTCCGCCCGGCAGTGCGGTCGCCCCGCACACGCGTATTATACGGACCGCGCCGGAGTGGTTTTCTTCTCCTGCGCTCCAGCCGCCGTCCTCGCAAATGCGACGCCCGACCCGACGTGCCGACCACACGTATCTTTATCATTAACGTCGAACACTCGGTCCCATAAACACCGCAGCCGCTGCACAGACTGCCCGTCGCACACGATTCCGTACGCACATCCCGTCAGGAACGCCCGAAAGAGATCGCGAGGACGGACGAGTTTTCCCGCATTCGCTTGTCACCGCTACCATCATGAAGCCGCTCGACGTCACCGCGGTAAGTATATTACGTTATACTACGTACGCCAAGTATATTAATTTTTTTTTCGTGTGTGTACGTTTGTCGTACGGAAACCGTGGGAGATGGGGTTGATATTTCCGAAATAAAAATAAACCGCTATTTTACTAATATTTTTCGATGATGAAACCCTCTCTGAACGTGACTGGTGTCTGTCGCCGAACCCCCCTATAAATAAGTCCCGGGGAAAACGAGGCCGGAAAAAGGTCCCCGAAATTCGCGGGTGTTAAACGTCAGGTTTGCACTATAATATTTTACAATTGACTTTTGAACGACCGGCGTGGCGCCCGTCACGAGCCATTCGTTCGGTGCAATCGTTCGGAATAGTCCACACATTCAGGTCGAATTCCCGAATGTCCGCGTTCGGGCAAAATGGGTGGATTTCGGATTTGAACCGTTCTCAGGTATTCAAATTTCAAAATTCCAATATGACCCGGTATAGGTCAAACAGCGATTGCAATGGAATACATATAATTAATGTAATTAACAATAATAACAATTGCGTAACATTATAAAGTATATATAAAATAAAATGATGGTAGTGAACGAGCAGACTGGAAAACGAGAAGCCATTTGATTGGTCATCCTAAGCGTTCGGTGCGTTGGATAATTGTGGCTGTAAGAGGCGTAATGAATGGGAATGAAAAAGGGAAGACGAGACCTTATATCGTGCAAAGGTACTTTACAGAAAACGCGGGAGAAAAGGCATCGATAGAACTGTTGAGAATATCAAGAATAAATTGAGAGTCAATAATATTACGACGGGAGGAAAAAGAAGGGATATTTAGATGAAGGTTGATTCGGAGTAATTTTGTTGAAGCTTAGATGAATTAAAACTGTAAGTGGCGTAAGATAAAAATGTATGCTGAACTCCCTTTAGACACAACTGATCCTCGGCAAATTTCGTTTTAGGAATTCCCGCGCCGGAAACTACAGACGAAACAGAAGTACGTTTCTCCAGTCCCTTTGTAACTTCAAAAAAATAATATAAATCGTCGTTTTCTCTGTGCTTACCGCGGTTCCGCACACACTATATTTCGTTCGTAGTTTGTGTGGAATTTTCCGGGTTTTCTGATACGCCCACCGTAGGAACCGAAAATATCGACGGCCAAAATCTTTGCGGTCTATGCGCATATACGTATGTTATCTAAAGCCGTTTGTTTGCCGATTTGCTCATTCGGTTCGTAAACATTGTAAATAGCAGATAATCGATCGCATCGGGCCGTATAACAGGACAACAATCCCGCAGTGGTATTGTGCCTGTGTCTGTGTCTGTGATGATCCGTATACTTAATTTTTTACACGATCGCGTGGCCGCGGGACAAGGACGTGACCTTGCATCGGTCGTCCAGAGAGTCCCGGCACGTCGGCGAGCACTTGACACCGCGAGGAGAGCGGAAAAACCGGATCGATTTGTATTTGCACTGCGATTTTGTTTTCGCCAATCCGGTGTATTATACGAGAGAAAATCGAAATCGAATCGTATAATATATACTCGTATACTAAACTCGGTGCATCATTGTAACGCCATTATCCGCGTAATCGTCGTATTGTTGTTGATTCTTCATTTTTTTTTTTTTTTTAAATGTTGTCATCATTAACGTAGATACTGTGTTGTCAACACGACTATTACACGGCACTGCAGTGTCCACACGTAATGAGATCTTATGAAAATACCTACACCTACCAGACATATTATACCTATTATTATTGCAGGTACCGTAATAATATCCAATAATATAATATGGTGTTGCGTAATACGGACGAGCGTTTAGATTTTTGAAACTCGGTAGATCGTATAAGAATTGGATTGATAGCTAAATCAATATTAAACCCAAGATTTTCGGGGAAAATGTGTACATATCGTATAGGCACTACTAGACTACCAACTTTAGGGGTGCTGAAATTATGTCCCCACAAATCTCTTTACACGACTCTGACAATAGTCAACTACACCTCTTATTTAAAATTTTGTATATACAGATTTATCATAACAGTTTCAACATTATTTTTCATAAACATATGCATTTTCTATAGAAAATCTGTATTTTGTTCTACTCGTTAATTATGAAATACATAGATAAATATTTCATTTGTCATTACTATGAAAAAGCTAATTTGGTTTTATCAAGCAACTTCTCTAGGTGCGCCTATGTACTACAATGTCTCTGGAATGTGAAAATACGTTCTTAAAAATCTGGTAGTCAACCCCCGCACAGAGACTATAGATATTGTACTAGCACTACTACTACTACTACTAATCGATTTTACAAAAATAAAATAAGAAACAAAACAATTTAATCAATGGTTATGAAGCTGCGATAAAGTTATGAAAACCCATTGATATTAATAGGGTATTTATATAAGTACCAGCTTTTGTGCCCAACCAAAACTAGTTTAACTGTTTAGCGAATACCGAAAGCTTTTGAAAACAAATAGGTAAGGTTTTTTTCTGAAAATATATATTATTATTATAGATTATCTTTCTCACTGACAATCTTTTTCATCTATATATTTTTGGTTTGACCAAAAAGTGAATCGGCCATAAAGAGCAGGATACGATTTCGGTCAAAAACGGTTATGCCCAAATAAATATATATATTAAATAAATCGATTTGTACAGTGGAAATAATACGACTGTAGTTACAAGCTGAAAATCACCAAAAAAATCAAACGGCTAACAAATTTTGTTACAAAGTATTGTAAATTGATATTAGAATTCATTTTCAAGGGAAATAACTTGATATAACGTACTAGGTATTTATTTTGTAACTTAATGTATACAGTGCATAAACGTGTATACTATACACGTTTCGACTTCTACTATCCAGTCGCAAAATTATAGGTGTCTGAATTTTACAGTGATTTTGGATATTGAACCTTTTGAGATATTTTTGTTTTAAATTTCTTAGGTACGACCTCTAAACAAAATCAAAGTAAACGATCAGCTTTTTTTTATATTAATAGTAAACATCTTCTACGCGTTGTGCATTGTATTTGGTATCAACTACAGCTCCCTAATTCGCGTGTACACGTATATTCACGTATTTCACGTTATTTTTCGCTTATTTTCATTACGTATTAGCGTGAATAACAATAAAACACGCGAACATAGTAAATTCCGGTGTATTAAGTAGGTATAAGTATATGGGAGTGCAAATTTTTCATTCGCGCGCAAGTACATGGACTTCGTCGTCCGTTAAGTACCGTATACTTGTTAATATGCGGTAAATTGAATTTTACTTTTAACACTGAAATCGAGTTAATCGGAGAATCAAAATAAGACTGACAATCGCGTTATTTTGTGCGCGCGAATCTCGAATTATTATAATACCTGTACAAACATGACGCGGCACAAACGCTTCGAACAGCGCACAGTCGGCGTTAGAAGAATAATGACTCTACACCGTGTATAGTATTGAATCTGTCGTTTGTAAAAAAAAAAAACGCGACCGGTTTTTTTAGCACTGCACGATCGCGATATTATGATATACGTTATTATGTAAACACGATTAATCCGCATCTCCGGCGTATAAAAAGCGCATAAATTTGACTGCAGTAACGTCCGAGCTCGAGTCGTGTCCGGGAATTCAGTTTGAGGAACGAGTGTAACACTCGCATAATGGCGTGAGGTATTTACGCGTTTGCGATTGGAAAAGCAGAATAACAAAAAAAAAAAAAACCGATTTTAACAGGACGCTTTAAAACGTTCGCCGTTTAATTTAATTCGCCCATTGTGCGCGTATAATATAATAATAATATTATAACGCGTCCCGCGGAGAGGTTATGTTTTTCTTTTCGTATTATCATTATATTATATACTATTAATGTTACCGCTCGCGGTTACACCTATTATACGACGTCCTATATGCGCGATTTGTGATTTTTTTTTTTCGCGGACATCCCGCGCCATGGTGGCGACGGTGACGAGAGAGTCGTATCGTCCGCGGGTGTTTTACAAAATGTTTTAATTAAAATTAAAAAAAAAAAAAAACGCGCCGTGGGTAACTATGTAAAATATTCGAATTTGTATAGTAGAGATCCGAGTGGACGTTCGTTCACTAAAACAAAAGTTCACCGCGTTCGTTAGGACCGTTTGGTTTCACGGATTTTCAAGTGTTGGGTTAATCGATCGTTGAAATAAAATATTTTCCGATACGACCCTGTGAACAATGATTAACAATAATGTAAGAATTTTCGAGGTTCTTTTAAAAACGAACGTTAAATCAATGAGAAAATATGAAAGTCGTTCAAGTTCGTATATTAATTGAAAATTCCATTCATGGCTCGTTTGTAAATAAATCGAACGCGTTCTTAGAAAACAATTTAAATGAAGAATTTTAGTATGAACATAATTAAAAAAATATAGTCACTATATTTACCAGGAAATCGAGGGACGTTACGAACGAACGAATATTAAATCCAAACAAACTTACTGCAGGTATCAAATCACGAAAACGAGACTTCCAAAATGTTTTTCTACCACTCACATTGGTGTTAGTTAATAGGATTAAACAATTTACGGCACCCTATACCCCTCCCAAAAAATATGTACATATGTACTACTCTACACGTATACGTAAAAATAAAATCAAACAGAGTTTGAGTGTATAATATAGTCAAATAGGTGTTAGAGAATTTATTTGTATTATAAAATGTATTAGAATTTTTGAAATTGCATTGTTAATATCTTAGTAACAAACTAAAATTTTTCCCCGAAACTAAAGGGAACGTATAATTTGAATAAAAATGGAAACAACAGCCTTTGAGTTGAAATAATTTTTCAACTTTTGTCGATAACTTAAGACATTATTCAATATTAGTTTAAATTCTAAATGACTTTCTGACCTAACGCGGTTTATCGTATTGGAAACATGCTGCAATATTCGACAGTCTAACACGTTGAAAAGAAAAATTACTTGTATACTTATTTTTCGGTTTTCAGTGGGAATCATGAATGTGATGATCAAGGTTCATAACTATAAGCATTAATTGAATTTTTTTTTTGGTGATATTAGAGACACCTATTTGAGCTTTAAATTTGTTACAAGAAATTTCAAAGTTATATACGAAAGTTTATATTGCATATTTTTGGATATTTCGAAATTTAAGTACTATTTTGTTTGTTTTGTTTGTTAACAGTAATTACAGTACCAGTTAAGTGCTATTTTGCTCTTTGTGTATATTTACCACTATTCCAATATCGTAGGCTTCAAAATATACTTAATAACAAGAATAATTTAAACAGTCTTGAATATCTTCACGTTTATTCGTTTCTATTAGAGTGCGCTGAAACCCAGTAAGACGGTAATCATCGATGTATTAGTATTTTATTTTTATAGCTATTAGGTATTTCGGTGTCATTATTTTGTTATTTATTTATTTTTTTTTTTATATTTTATCGTTTTCAGTGAATATTTAAGTGCTTATATACACATGTTTTTTTAAAGCATATTATGGCCCGTATAACAGCCTTTTTTTAAGAGCTACAAGTTATGAGCACAGGTGATGATAATACCTGTATACCTAGATTACTGGTTTCACTACCGATACAGCATAATATAATATATGAAACGCGCGGTAAGGTTAGATCGGGAAATACGTAGCGAAAACAAATGGGGTGGGTGGGGGGGTGAACAGAAGAAGAAATAGATGTTGTTTGTAAATGTCTTTAATTCAATTCGATTTCAATAATTTGATTTTTGACGTCGTAAATTCAAAACGTCGATTTTTATTCAAATTTTATTTGAATTGTTTTTTGTTAAATAATAGTGATACTAATTCAACACTAATAAGTCGGAAATTTCGAGTAAGTACTTCGGTAAGTAAATAATCTGATTATTCACTCGCGTAATATAAGACGTAATATATTTTTCACTGCTGTTACATGCAGTAACGTCGAACAATAGACAGCAAAATCTTCGCGATGTCTTTATATTGTGCAGTTTTTTTGTTTTATTTTTTGTTGTATTTTTTTTTTCATCGGCCGTTCGTTAACTGACCAGTTTGACTCGCTATTAATAATAATATTATAGGTACCTGCCCAGGTATGTACGGCGGTGCGTTCAGATCCAACACGAGAAAACAATACCCCGTTTGGAATATAATTGCAGCACTCCGACGCGAAAGCAATAACAATTAATAAATTTTTTTTTATTATTATTTTTTTTTTTTAATCTCCCGCGATTCACTTCAAAAACACAATACCGTACGTGTTGAATAACATTATTGGAAAGCCAACCTTCCTATTATTATAATATATGTTATAACGGGTCTAAGCAATTTTGCAGCGTATAGCCGTCGTATTAAATACCTTCGGTAGCTGTTATACTTCGAAGTACGAACCGCATGGAGATTTCGATAACAGTTAATAAATAGTCAAAAGGTAATCTTTAAGGACCTTGCTCGTGAATTTTTTTTTACAAATTGTTAACATTTTCGATTAACAAGTCTTGAAAATTCCAAACAAATGATCTGATTAGTTTCGATTTTCATATTGTGAAGGAGACTGCACGCGACCTGGTTTTCGCTTAAAAAGCTTTACAGGAAAAACTCTCGAGTGGTAAAACATCCTACAAGGCTTTGTACTGGATTCGATTTTTAATTGTGTATACGACAATCACAAAAAGTATTAGTTAAAAAAAAAAAAATTACTAAAATATTAGTCATAAAAACACCAAGATGATCGAAATCGGTTTACGCTAAGAAGCACGAGGGTTTTCCCCTGTATACTATTATGCCGAAAAAAAAAATATTGCTCCTAAAAAAAAAAAAAATAATAACCCAAATCTTAAACAAACCTACAAAGACTTGCAAGTCAATCGGTATAGTGTTTCCGCGAAAATATCAAGAATATAACAAGTTCGCAAGACAGACAATTTTCGTCGAGTCTAGGATCAATTTTGTGCCGTAATAGTATTATTATAGTTTTGCAGTGATTGATTGACTATGAAACTTAAACGTAAGAAAACGATCGGCCGTGTTTGCGCACAGGTTTCGTTCTCGATATTTTGACTTTTGAGCGCGCCACAATACATTTTTCACGCCCTCGTTTGATACGACTCGTAACGGCATCGCAAAATCGCACCTGTTGCATGCGAATTAGCGTCTTGAAAAACTTATTTTCCGAACGTTTCACAGTCCCGCCATATGTTAACCGGTGTCCCCCGACAAACTCCTACGCGCGTTTATTTAGGCACTCGGCGCGACAATTGCGTACACCAGAGCCGATCGTTCGCCAAAACCCGTAGGCGTACGATTGATACGTAACAATAATAATCATAGATAGGTAATATTATAACACTACGAATAAGGAATAAATACGCCCAATCCGAGCGCGTATAAATCGAATATTATACGATTACATATTATAATGACATGTAATTTTAAAAACGTGGGCGTGTATATTCGGTACAGCTAATCGAATTCGGATATTTACCGTCTAAAGACCGGTGGCGTGTTTCGTATAGCATCAGCACGCGTCTATAGTAAATTATTTCTCCAGTCCGCCTTCCGATCACCCATCGAGTTTTTTTTTTTTTTTGCTATTTTTCAGTACACGATCACTCAATTAGTTTCAAACGACAGACATCCCGATTTATACGGATTTAGTTTCAAAAGAGCTAAATATACGCACGAACCGAGTGTCGAGTAATGGCGATGAAAACAATTTTGTGCCAATATGATGTATTGGATAGGTTAATATGGATGAATTTTCGTGCATGTTAATATATTATAAGTTGTTCAATTTATTTTAAAAATTCTTGAGAGGCGAAATGTTCAACGTTCTCAAGCGACTATACAAAAAATCTTATCTGTTTCAATATTTCTGCGAGAAAATCGGTCAATCGGGGTTTTTTCGTAATATACATTTTATCCGAACCCAGTGTATAGCATTATGTGTTGTCGGTTTTCATTTTTTTTTTTTTCAGAATAACTGCCAGTGATTTACACACATTTTTCCAATGAAATAGAAAATCCGTATTTATTATTTTTTTTTCAAGGTACATTGTAAACGTTTTTGGAAGATTTTTGCTAACGGAAAAAGTAGTCGAAAAAATTACTATTTATTATTTTAAAATATACAAAAGTAGGTTGGCATAAAACACGTTTGGTATAATTAATAATTAATACAAGGGTGAAGGGAATATAACGTACATTGTTTAAAATATAATTTATTTGTGTTGTGACCTTAAAAAGTCAATACGTTAAAGCCGGAAACATTTTAACATACCTACATAAAGTAAATTATTTTTATATAATGTTATTAGTTATTACTAAAAAAATGTAAAAATAAACCTCAAATTATTATGCAAAATCAAATTAAATTTATAATCTTGATAAAATGATTTAAATTAATAGCTGGCTTAGTAATTTAGTGAGTACCTAAGTGATTATGGTAAAATATTCTCCATATTCTTTAGAGGATTTTCGTCAAATAGCTTATGGTATGATTGTCGGTGTTTTACATCAGTTTTTCAAAAAATAATAAAACCATCGAAACAAGATAATTGAAAAAAAACTCACTGAGAAAACTATTAGTGATAAAAAAAAGTCAATTTATTTTTTCGCGGCAAATAAATCAAATTAGTTAATTCATCATTGATCGATGAAAAATCTTCATCTTTAGAATTTGTCAAATCCACAGGCGTCATTGAAGGCTGACGAGGGGTAGTGATTGCCCCGCGCCATTTTTATCGGGGTGGCAAATTATTTGCTACACTACTTTATGAGTAATTTTTAAACAAAGTATAATCGTCCTACTTTTTTCATAATACGATGGCTACATTAAAATAATTATTTACTATCGGCTATATCGAATTATAACGGGTACTAATTTTACTCAATTGATTATTTAACACTATATTTGACATATGAATGCCTAATTTTGGCGAACAATTGACCGAGACTTATCTACTGCTCTTTCACTCCAAGTAAACAATAAATAAATTAAAAATATTATTTTATTCGAGATTCTTCCTGCCCCGTAGTTGTACTTCAAACCACGCCTATACGATTAAATTTATATCATTTAATGTTTTATGAACATCAATCACACAGGTTTTGGACTTGAAAGAAGAGATTTTTTGCGAACACGTCGAATACTTTGTTCGTACTGCGGTTACATCAGATACTGTACGATTTTATTAAAACTAACGTCGTGTGATTAAATCGTCTATTGAATTCATGTTACAGGCAGTGTTTGATTCAGACAATTTTTCCGAAATTGACTCTCTTACTAAGACCAGTCGAATTTGTTTAATAACAATTGAACAAATTTACCCACATTTAACAGGGGGATAAACAAAATACCTATAAACATAGATTCAACGCTGGCTGCGGGTAATTATGGCGCGGCGAATTGAAACCTTTTCGGAGGCGGGGATTTTATTCCAATAGCCGCTTATACCTACCGAACAATTCGCGAACCACCCGTCGGCACACACGGAGAGTTCTTATCGCTTTCTTAAAAACCGTCGTACAAGCAGACCCGGGCGGCCGCCGCTCTATATTACGCCCTTCGGCACGCCCGCATTGTTCGACGCAGATTCGGACCGTAACGGACCGAATCCTTTCGGCGCGAACGTGCGGTTCCCGTGCGAACCGACCGACCGGAACGGTGGGGGGGGGAAGGGGGGAGGGAGCCCGGTGCGCCGAAAAACGGGTCCCGGACCCGCAACAGCAGCAGCAGCGGCAGCCGACGACGACGAGTACGTGGAAGCGGTGCGCCCACGTGCGCCGCGGCGGGCGCGGTCGCCGCACACGGGACGGTAATGATAAAATTATTAATTATACCGCGTGGGCCGCGGCCGTGCGAAAACGGCCGTGCGAGACGCGCGGGCAATCGCGCGATACCATCGTAATTTCATTTGTTGTTGTCGCGCGGAAATCGCCGTAACGGTGACATTATTGCGCGTTCTCTCCGAACACAACATTATTATCATAATATAGGTAGGGTACGTACGTCGTGGCGGGAAGGTCATAATATTATTTAATACGTCGCCCGTCGGTTGGTCGGTCGGTCGGTCGGTCGGTTCGGGAGTCCGTTGCCCGGAGGTCAACGTACACGCGTCGCCCCCTCCCGCCCCCTCGCCGGAACGGCCGCCGAACGACCGGTTCGGGGCTGTGGCGTGCGTGTCGTCTAAGTTCACGTGTATTTTATTCATTTTTTTTTTTTCTATTTTTTTCGACACGCGAAAACGTGTTGCCTGCGACGACGGCACACACGCGTCTGTCTAGCGGCGCGTGTGTGTACGTACACATCAAGTTCGCCCACCGCGACTACTTTCCAGCCCTCACTCCTTTCCCGCCCCGTCACGCTGCCCCCTCGCCCCTCCCCGGCCCGACGACGGTAATTATCGACGAGTCCGCGGCGTCGAGCGTAATTTTTTTTCGTCTTTACCGATCGCCCGGGCCGAAAGCCGAAAACCGGATAAAAGAAGTTTCTGTCGCTGTTTTTTTTTTTTTGTACACCTCCCAGGTATACCGTTTTGTTTCAAAATGCCGACTATTATTGTACGAATAAATTGTAGTTTTCGTTTTTATTGTTGTCGGTACATACGTGCGCATTACAACGCGCGGCACGGACACGAGCTTACGGTAAATACGCGAAAAAGGGAACGAAATTCAACAAAAAACTCGTGTTCCCATATTTTATACGGCCGGTCGCCGGTCGTTTGTATACCCGCGGCGCGAATTATTATCCTGTCCAATTATGAATTTCGCACATATTGACGGTAATGATGATAATATGTTATTTTTGTCAAATACATATATATATATGAATATAATATTCATTCGATAGTTCGTTCTTCGTGCTAGTTTTTATTGTTTTTTTTTTCGTTTTATTCCTATGCGATGTTGTTTTTCTGCTGTTATTCGACGGGACAAAAAAAATAAAAAAAATTGACGAGACTAACGTGTTACATATTATTGTTATTTGAGAAGCAACACGCGATTCGTCATCATCGTCGTCATCACAATATGTTATCATACGTACGAGTAATACCTATTCGATTTCGTGTTACAAATACCGGGCAATTCGTTTTGTAAAAAAATCGACAGTCAAATATTATTATCGTGTTCGCGTGCGTAGATAATATCGAAAACATTATTTGGAACAGTTTTGTATACAGCAGTTCAGCGTAAGTCACGGTTGTGAAGCGCCCGGGAATTTACGACTGGAAGGGACGTAGTGCACATTTTTAAGGCAATCGCGATTCTCGAGTAAATCGTAAAACACGCTTTTGTTAACGACAAAGCCGACAACGAGAATTTGATTTTATTCGAAAAAATAAATCCAGAAAGGAATTGCCAATACACTCAAAATCATTGTATTTTTCAACCCGTGGAGGGGTATATAACCTCTAACATGAGCGTACGCACGGGGGAAACAAGAGAGGTGGCCTCCTCCCATGCGGAATTTCCCGCCAAAATATTTTCAAAAATAAACATATTACGTATACATTTTTTTTAAATATTAAACCCCAACGTAGTACTCTTAATTTTGTGCACTGGCGCAAACAGGGGAGGGTTTGAAGGATTTATAATTCCCCCTCCTCCAAAAACTCAACTAAGCCCACCTCCAAAAATATTAAAATGATTTTTGTGTAAGGTTTGATTTCAAACGCCTCCTCTGTGAAAAGGAACTAAGCACTCTTATAACCCATAAAGTTCCTCCCGCGTCACTGTAGGTCGCGTATAACTATATTATTATTTATGCAGTGTACCGTGAAATACATTTTACTTGAATAAAAAAAAAAAATACGGCGTTACGATATTATTTTATATTTAATAAAGTCCCGGTGTAGCCGTTTATTGCGATTACCCCGTAATTTGAAAATTATTTTTTACATTTAACGGCTCGTTCACTAATCTATCGTTTAGGGGAAGATGTCCGTTTTTTAATTACGATTTCGTGGGAATAAGACCGATGACTCATTGTCAATAAGCATTTATTTTTATTTTTTTTTTTTACTTTGATAAACAACAGCCATCAATTATTTGTTTGTTTACAAATAATCGTACTGTAAAAAAGTCTGTAAGAAAATTTTCGAGTTGAGATTTAATTTACATTTATATTATTATTATATATAAACGTTGAGATTAAAATATTACAAAACGGAATTCAATCTGTATGATCATTTTCTTTACTAAAAAAATAAAATAAAAAATCATCAAAATCAAACCATTCTAAACACTGGTGTACGCGGGAGGGAGGAGAAGTTAGAAATTGTATTCTATTCTCATTGGCTTAAAAATACAAAAAATTATGAGTGATCTAATATCGAAATGCATATATTTCTGGATAAATTCCTTACTTCTGTCAAAATCTAAAATGCAATGAAATATTTATTTTTTTTTTTAATAAATCTTCTATGACCAACCGTTCTATGCGATATACATTATAATTGTTAGATAAATTCAAGAGTAAACGCGCCATTTTTTATATATTTAGTTATATATACATTCATAAAGAAATTGTATCGCTCCGCTCCAATTTATAAACACATGTTAATTTACACGTCTGTACACAAAGAACATTTGCAATAAAACAATAATTGTACCGTTATGCCATTTTTTTTTAACAATTATAATAGTCGAGTTTTTTTTTTGACGATTCAAAAAAAGTATTTAAAAAAAGGTTTTACAATAATGATATATATTATTATTTTCTATGAACAACTTTTTTACTAGAAATCTTGTTCGATTTTCAAGTACACCTTTTCTGGGAGGGAATTTTATCTTTTGGTTCGTATAAACGTCATTTTTTGATTTTGTAAGCGGTTTTCATAATAATTAGAAAAAACTGGGAAAAAAACGTAGGAAAAACGGTAAAATTTAGGCAGTGTATTATTTTCAATTTTGTTTTTATTGTAATTCAGTTAAACATATTTGTAAAGACTTTAAATTTAGATAGCAAAATAATATTTGTGTTTTTCAGACTTAGTAAAATTTTCAAAACATTTTAGCCATTTTTGAGCTATTTATAAAATGTACAGGGTTTTTATACACAATTTTTAGACCAAACAGAAATACTTGAACATTTAATAGGGGGCTCATTATAAGTCGTATAAGAATTTCAATATCAAATTTTGGCGAAAATCTAAACTATTACAGCAATTTAAACATGTATAACCGAACTCTGCTCAGAATCGTTTTCGTTAGCAAAAATTAATCGTTGCATACGGATATACATTAAATTTTCCTCCATATCCTACATCTTCACATACAACAGTGGCCCAACCATCGTACGAAGTATATCCGTCTTTGTTTTATACGTACGTATTTTTATTGTTTATTTATTTATTCTGTTTTATGTATTTGTATTTTTATTTTGAAATGTATTTCAATATGTTGTTATTGAACCGTAGAAATTCAAATTTTAAATATTTATAAACGTATTCTATTTGAAATTGAAACATCTCGCGAGAGGATTTTCAGGTTAGGTTACGTAAACAAAAATTGAATTAGGCGAGAATAATATTTTGATCGCGCGACGAGGTTTATGCAAAATGTTGATTGAATGATATTACGTTCGCATACCGTCGTCACATTTTTTTTTTTTTTTTAATTTACATATTTTTCACATAGTTCGTGAACAAATAACATAATTATTTGTATTAAATGTATTCGATACCGCAGCGGTCTTCTGATATTACTGTATTAGCAAACGTCAACATCTGGTAAAAGAAAATAAACGAATACAATTAAATATCATAATTATTGAGAAGCCGTAATTGAAGAACATAATTATACACTTATAAGTTATATTATAAAATCAATTCGCGCAAAACGATTGTATAATATTTAAATTATTATATTTTATTTTACGTACGGGATCTTTAAAGTTATTTTACAAGAAACCGTATCGGTTCGATTGCATTTTTGCAGCTTTATATTTCCGCTAAAAATAATTCGATGTCCCGATTGGCCGAGTGCGTTGTAACCTACGAGTCGGCTCATTTGAACTGCAATAGCTAATAGATCGTTTCGAGATAAAAAAAAAAAATGGAACAGACTAACGAAATAAAAAAACGACGGATGCAGATTATATTATCAATTTTGGATTTCATAGTCGAAACACGTAGGTATGCATGATAGTTTAGTATATTATTAGTGCACACGTATTTGATTTGAGAGGACGTGATATCCGCATGTTTCGTCTCCGTCTTACTATAGCATGACGCAGCAAATTTTCGTTCAGCAGGGACAACTTTGTGCTATTAGTTTTAATATTAGAGTGAATCGACCTATTACTATCAATCATAAATATAAGAACATAATATTCTGTAGGTGATATTTTTCCTATATTATAATTTTTAAGCGTGACATTAAGCATTATTAAATTGTAAAATTTCACATACTCATAACTCGCTTGAAAATTTAAATTTCCGAAAAGTTTCAGCAATGTTTTTGTTTTTAAATGCAATAACAGGTCAGTTTATTCTGATATCAAAACTAACAGCACAAAATCGTCCCCAATGAACTCAAATTTTGTTTTGTTCGTAAAACGGAGACCGCACGTATTTGAATTACGTCCTCTTAAATTTCGAACACATTAAAATAATATACATACAGTATGTATTATGAATACGAAATTTGTCATTATTTGTTTTTTTGAAATATATTCCATTATACGTAACTACTGTCAGTCTTGGTTTTATAATATAATTGTCGACGAAATTATTACCGTTAAAAATACAGCTAAGCTAATATTTAACACACACATTAGATTTGTTTTCACGTGTAGCACTTACATTGCAATCAAAATGGTATATGACCCGAGGCGGGTTCCAGCAAAACACGCAAAAACAAATTATTTTAGCATCCGCATACCCATAAAAAAACTAGTCACAATGTTATTATTACAGTAACAGTGTATAATATTATACACTGTTTAAACTTGGAAAAAAAATGGGTTGTAAAAGTTCGTAACATTTTCTTCTTCTTCTCTTTATCTCGTGGTGAAAATTGGGTCAACTGTTATAATTATACACACTTACTCTTAACCTCTAATATTTCTTTGACCTACCAACCTCTTCTTCGAGGCTCCCGTCTACACTCGTGTGTAAAGTAACGTAATTAAAATTTCCCAACGGGAAGGGAATAAAAAAAAAAAATAGAATAAAATACCAGAACATTGCGATTGTTTTGTCCACAATTCACACTGCTTACCTCATTTATATCTATATGCAATGCAAATAAATCGTCGCTAATTAAAAACTATTCTGAGCCAAGTTCGGTTAATCGCGTTTTGATAAACTTAATGAACTGACAATAATGTATTAATTTGTACATAACTACAAAATAAATTAAAATTGTCCGCGTTTTTTGGTCTCGAATTTTCGAGCGTTTATGTAGGACCAACACAAAGTTTTGTCCGCATTAGTCGGAAAATAGTACGTGAAATATTGGAAATTTACGACTTTCATAACATTTTGAATTTTATACACCTTAGATATTTAACAAAAAATCATACCACATCTATAGAAAGTGCTAGTAAAATAGTATTCATTTGAAAATTCAGGCACCCACGACAATTATTTCTAACCAAACAGAAATCGGTATCACGTGAATTTTCCGACATTTATTTCCTCCGATAATGAAAACGCGCGGTACATTTTTAATTACCGATGCGTTACTTGTATGCATTCATGTGGAGAACAAAAGGAAGGTTAGGTTAGGTTAGTGCGCCGGATTGTTTATGCATTATTAATCAAATCAAGTCTGACCCGCAGACCGTTCGAATCGCGAAAATGAATTTTTCCGATTTTCTCTTCGTAAAACTTCAATGTCGACGGACGGGGACATTGTATCGAAAACGGATCTTCGCCTTTTATGAAAATAATAATAGTAGGCATCTAATCTGTACATTTTTTATCCGTTTTGTTTTTGTTTTTATCACGCCGCCGTCGTCGTCGTCGTCGGCACACCGTTGTGCACCGTCATACTCTACACTATCGTGTCAAAAGCGAAAAACGATTCTGCGGTTTCGGTGTCATCCGAGTCAGTGTAAAATAATAATATTATCTCGTTGTCGTGATGCGTACGCCGGGCCTAACCCGGAGACCGATCTCGAACGGTACCGGGCCGGATTAAGGTCACCGCACTTTTCGCCGATCCGATACGAATTTTCCATTTTTAGACCTCGAGCGGAGTCGGCCGGTCGATAATGCGCGCGCGTTTGTTGTTCGATAATGATTTTGCAAATATTATCATTATTATTATTATTATTACTATTATTATTATTATTATTAGGTATTGTGATCGACAGGACCCCGTGAAATCTCCGCCCCGGACATAATATTATTATAATCATCGTGCCTACGATATTATACACGGCGCAGCGTTCCGACGATACACGTTCGCTTTCGGAGGACGGATTTTGGATTTCGGTGTTTTACTGCACAATAATATGACGCGAGCAAATTTTAGCCCTTTTTTTTTTCTCTTTTTGTTCATCGACGACTTTTCTATACCGAAAATCTCGCTCCGGTCGTCGGTGTCTGGGCGTATACCGGGTTCTATTTCTGTACCCGGAAACGATTAAACTGGACCCTGTACTTTTAGACATTAATCACAAACGCTCTTCGAGTACCAGTCTATTTATCTAAGCTTCTTCTTTTACTAAAGGCCCTTCTCCGTCTTCGCGAACTGATTCTCCGTTCTTCTCTGTTTGTAGCCAATCTTTTCATGTGCCTGTGTAACTATTACAGCCAGCTTGTATTATCATTTCTTTTAAATATGCCTTTTTTGGTCTTTCTCTTCCTTTATATCCATTTATCCATCCTTCAAATATGTTCGTTACAAACGGGATACAGACTCAATAAGTGGTCGCACATTATTTTTCCATTTCTTTCCCAAATATTCTGCTCGGCAGATTCTAAGCTACAATGGGTAATTTAAGGAAACAGAAGGAAATTTAAGAAAACGCGGAAGACAATTTTAATACCTATTCGTTGCGTCGGTGGCGATGTCTTGTTTTTTGATTTGCTCTTGTAATTTTCAAAATAATCGGGAAAATTTCTTCGACAACTATGGTTTTCATTTTTTTCTATTTTTTTTTTTCTGCGTTTGTTATGTTTGCCGAATAGATACTTGCATTAGCGTTTTATAGACGCGCTAAAACGTTCGAAACATTCAGACAATTTTCGGTATATTTTTAGGCGTTTCGAATTTTCGAGTTTATTTCTGTTTTACGCGGATAAAATTGTTTCGGCCGATCAGAAACTCCGTAATTTAGACGGGATAAATCATAAATCGTCGTAATCGGCGGTGGAGAAAAAAAAATTTAACGCAATATAGTAGCCGGTTTTTTCGTAAGAACATATTAATATTGTTTAGACCGAACCTCGCTCAGAACCGTCGTGTGAATTGAATACTTGTGCGTTTTATGTTTTCTATAAATTCGAGGTTCAACGTGCGGACCAAAGTGGTCCGACGAGAAAACAAAACAAAAGTAAAATAGTGCCGTTGGTATGAATTATTAAACCTATTATACGCAGTTAATTGCCCACGGGTCGGACAAACTCGGTTTTTAAGCCGGAAAACGGGCGACACATTGCCTCCGCGGCTAACCACTCTCACCGGACTATGATTATAATAATACGATGGTATTATACGTGTATACTGTGTATATATATATATATATATACAGTATAGATACCGCGGTAACCGACCAAAATACTTACCGGCGTTTTGAATGCCCTTCACACGGCCGCTCATCCCGCGATTGTGTTCCGCTGACAATGAACGGAAAAAGAACAAAAATAATCATACGCGTTAAAAGTAGACCTAACTCTGTCTGGCTATACGATCGTAATTATTATTACTACCGTCGTTTTATATTGTCGAGCCGCGGCGATAAGGATCTGAAAACGGAAAGGTTTTTTCTCTTTTTTAGCGACGGCCGGAAGGCGAAATTAAAATAATAATAATTTCGCAGAGTTATAATAATATACGGTTCGCGTGCGATTGCGACCGCGTGTGTGCGTATTGTTATCCTCACGCGCACATACACACTTCACCCACTGACCTGGTTATAAGGTTAGGCGTATAACAATAATATTATTATCACAATCTCGATAAATTCTACGACGATGACGACGGCATTTTTCCGCCGTATAATTTCCCTTTGGAAATACGTTTGCCAATGTATAAGCGGTATCCATATTATATACTCGGGCTATATTATGAATACATAATATAGCACATTCGCCGAAAACATAAAACACGGAGACGGGAGACCAGGTTCTGTGCGAAAAAAAAAAGTCCGTCGACTTCTGTCGGAAAAACAATCGATAAATCTAAATGGGTGCATCGAATTTAAATCGTAACTACAAAAAAAACAAATACGCTAAATTTTGTCAGATGTTATATGACGTTACGTATTTTTTAAATACGAATCGTGTGTGAAAACTCATGTATTATTAATAAAACTACTAAGTCGAAAATTAAATTGGTAAGCGTGCATTTTTTTTAGGTCTTAACAATTTAAATTTGACATCCACTTAAATATCACTTATAGGTGTCTTGTAAACTATTTCACATAAAGTAGCTAGACGTATGAAATTCGGAATACTTGCTATTTTTTTTAGTAAAACATTACTTCCCTGAAAAAATACAGTCCTGTAACACAACTAGCCTCATAGATAGAGGAGGGTCGAACAGGGCTCGAATAATATTAGTCATATAGTAAGTAATAGAAAGTAGATAGGTAACACTGATAACAACATCGATAGTTAAATAACCGATTATTTAAAAAAATGGCCAGATTTAGACGGTTCTGGTTAATTTAGAGGGCGTGATACCAAATTGTGTTGTCTCTGTCTTACAAACGTAAGTGACGAGAAATTTACGTTCAACAATAACAACAGTGTGCTTATTTTTTAATTTTTTTGTTTTTTTGTTTACATTAATTCAAGTTAATTTCAAATTCGTTTCCAAGGCACGTATATAACACTGGGCGATTATATATTATAAAAATAAAACGAACATACTTCGCACGGTGAGTGGGCCACCGTTGAAGTTGAAAAGTTAGGAAGGTAGGATGTAGAGGAGAATTGAATGTACCATATATGTGTACGCAACGATTAATCATTGCTAACGAAAAACGATTCTGAGCGGAGATCGGTTATTTTAAATAAACAAAAAGAAATAATCATCGTTGTAAAACCAATACATTCCTCGCTTCGCTAAGAATCTAAAAATATATTCGTGCCGAGGTATCGAATTCAGTCGGTTTAATGGGCACCCGGGTGAGAGGCAAGACGGGGCATCTGCCACCTCCGGACTTCAAAATTGCATATAATACGATTTTATTTTAAGTACTTTTCGGTATTTGATTCTATTATACCCCTCCCTGATAAGTTTCCTACGGGCGCCCGCGGTCAGTATATACAATATACAATATATAACTATACACATATGATAATGTCAAACCGAAATAAATAAAAATCGAAGAGGGCGACGATGGCCGCGTAACGGATCGTCTCGGACTTGATGCCGTCGCTCATCGCGTGTCGCGCGTACGGCTATAATAATAATAATATTCCAACAATGAAAAGTAAAATCGCGGCCGTTCGTCGCGGACAATATTCGGAAGTAAACGTCGAAAATCGATTAGGCTGCACGCGGGTCGCCGGGTTCATTGTAATCACGCGTATACGCGTGTGTAAACAGACAATGGAGTCGTACGGACAACAACAATAATATTATAGGTAGGTAAATTATACGATACGATGATGTGCGCATCGTCGATGGTCGCCGGAAGAAGTGGTCGTTTAAGAGATGGTAGGGAACCGTGCAGGATCTCTGCAGTGAAAGGCGGTCCACGACTCCGCCGCGGCATACTGGCCACAGTCCTTTTGATTCTCGGGCCAACTGCAAACGCGTTTGCCAACACGACTCGTACACAACAATATTAATATACCCAATCGTCGCAAACGGATAAAAACCATTTGCACCGTATAGCACTGCGTAACGCGAACCATGGTAATTGTTAATAAAATTACGTTTTTCAAGGTAAAACGTTTGCGGCGATTTTCGTTTCGATCGGTTTTCACACCGGACAATAATGTTATCCGTTTTCACAGGTGTTGTTGGTGTTGTTTTGTTTGGTCGCCTGCGGCCACGGCAGACCGTCGGACGCGGACGAACACGACGAGATACTGAGAGAGGCGAAAAAGGAAAAACACTACCAACAGTGAGTACCTACCCATCGACGTATAATAATAATGTTTCGAGTGTAATACGCCTCTACCCTATATAATATGATTACGCACGTACGTGCGAGTACTCTTCGGGCCTTCGGTCTCTACGAGACATACGATTTATATATATATATATATATATACCTATATAATAAATATGTAAATAGTATGTAATCTGCAAAACTATATAACACACACTCACTGTCAATAACAACAATAATACGTCCTAACAAAACACTGTGTATTAAATAACATGTACAAAAGGGTTTAACGCGTCTAACGGTGACGATATGATAACAACCGACTTATTATATTTAAAAAAATTAAAAAAAAAAAAAAACGACCGACTAAAAACTGACTAAACTATATTTAGCGCTGTCCTCTTGAAAAATACGCTAAAAACGATTTCTATGTACACCTATATACTATTATAATATACTTATAATAATATTACGCGTATATATTACAATAATAATATATACTTAACACACGCGTTATAGCAGTGCACAATTTTTTTTCATCTCGGTGGTTTTTCTTGTTTTCTACGGTTTTTAGTGCTTTATATATGTACGAAATTACGGCAATAACGGATCGGTCGATAATCAGCGTGCGTAACATTTGCGTAGAAGGTAAGCTTATTTCACACTTTTTTTTTTTTTTAATATTATCCGATTAATTTTTCTTTTAAGAAGCTTTATACATTTTTCGCTGTAATTATTTAACATTATTTTTTACTTTATATTTTTTACTTGTATTTTAATTTTGATATATTATAATGTATACCATAAAAAAAAACACCCTCGATGTTTAATTTCGAGACACAGCGGAAAAAATATGTAGCATAAAAAATAAAAAAATGTAAAAAAAATAAACGAAAATATATTATGTAAACTATTTTTTTAACGGTGAGGGGTTTTAATATTATATACGTTTCAATTTCGGATTATGTTTTGACTTTCGTATACAGGCGGGTCTAATTATTGAAAATGTTGTGTATTCTAGCGATGATAGGGCCGACGGCGAACAACCGGAATACCGAACGGAACCGGCGGCAACGAGCACTACAGAAAACGTGTTGAACAGATTGAAATCCATAGCGCACTTGCGAATGGCCGCGGACACGAGAGTCCAGGGATCGCCTCCGATGACCAGGGAAGAACTGGAGGCGCTCCGGGACCTCCTGGACAAAAATCTACGAAAGTATCAAAATTTCGACGATTACTCGGTGAGGAAACGGCCAAACAACGATCCGTACATAGGTCAAATCCTACAAAACTTGAACGGAGAACGCCCGCACGCTAACCACAACAGCAATAACGACAACAACAAGGCATTGGAACAACTCCGGGGTCAAATGCCCATCAGGCGTAAGATAATCAGGCACACGGTGTTCTCGTCGCCTTTGCAGAACGGCGGCGACGCCGACCAGAAGCGGGGCGTATACCCTGCGGGCGGTGACGGGGCGTCCAGGATCGAATGGCCGTCGTCACCGTGGGCCGAATACTTTCCGATATTGATCAAGGACCCGTTCCAGACAGTGATGAACTCGTTTTCCGAGATCATCGAATACGGACCGGCGGCCGACATTTGTAGGCACGCGGCGACCGGAGTTGACGACCGTGACGGCGACTCGTCGAATCGGATGGACCGCGGCGCCCGGCGGCGGGACGGCCGATCGTTCGGTCCGGAATCCGTCCCGGTCAGGCCGGACGCGCTAAAACGGTCCCGTCGAAACACCGTGGCTCCCGCGGAAGAGGAGAAAGGCGTGCTGCAACACGTAGTCAATAGACCGTACAAGCCGCACGGGCACGGACACGCGACCACGACCACAGAGACGCCGAAGCTGTACCAAGCCTGGGCGCCGGACAAGCAGGCCACCGAACATCACGGTGACACGGGACCGCAGATCAAGAGACTGGTGGTGAGGCGCGGCGGAGTGGCGATCGCGGGTCCCGGGGGAATAGCCACCGCGGGTTCCGGGGGCACGGCTATAGTGGGCCCGGGCGGCTCGGCGTACAGCTCCAAGGACACGGCGTCCGGCGCCAGCGGTGACATGCCGTTGCAGCAGGGCGTTTCGATGGCCGGCTACGGGCCGCAAATGGTGCAGCAAGGCCCGTCGCCGGGCTACTACGCGCCGTATCCGCAACAACACAACGGTTTCGGCCGGAGCGTGGACGGAGGCGGCGGCGGCAGCGGCGGTACCGCGATACTGTCCGCCGACGGCGTCGCGTACACGTTTCCCGAACCGTCCCGGGGTCTGACCACGGGCCACGGTTCGGCGGTCGCGGGCCGCCCGCAACTCCGGCGCTACGACGACGCCCGCGAAGACGGGCCACGCCCGTCGTCGGCGTTCCGGGGAGCCCAGGAAATCAGACTGCCGGACGGCGCTAAGCTCATAGCCACCGGGCCGATCGTGTACTACAATCCGGAACCGTCGTCGTGGGCCGCGACGAAGAAAAAGTCGCGCAAGGGAAAAAAGTCCACGTCCGCGGCGAAGAAACGCGACGTCGACTACGACGATTGGTCCACCTGAGAGACCCGCGTATATCTATACGATTCCCGCACCGTTCGTTCCTCTAACACAACACAAGACTGTCATAAACCGCATATTATTATCGCGATAATAATATGTAAATAAACTATATTCAAACTCACTATATAACGCGCTCTGGTCGTATAATATGTTATTAAATAATGTTATGTAGCCCGTTTAATAAAAAATAAAAAAAAAAAAATGGTAAAAAATTATGGTGTTTTTCGTCAGACGTGCCTTCACGTGCATAACAATTAGCGCTGTGTGCTCCGCTCATACTTTGCGATTAATAATATAATTAATTATACGACTTTATTGTATTAAAGGTGAAGGCTATACCTACGTGTATGTGTTTTGTATAATGTTTTCTTTTTTTTTTTTTTTTTTTTTTCGTAAGTGTGACGCGCGTTATTCATATCCGGAAAATAATATATAAGATTAAAATACGTAAAACGATCACGGAATCACGAGTTTTCGCAGACAATTATTATTGTATTACGATCGTCGCCCGTCGGTACCTAAACATTTGTAATTCGAAAATTCCGAATTCGCACTCCTCTCGGAACAGTCCGTCGAAATCGATTTTTTAAATATTTTTATTTTTTTTTTTTTTCAAAACAGTAGACCGCTATAATTTGTACACCGACGGCCCCGCTTTTTCTACACCGGACCTGTAGACTCAAAAATCGCACCGACCGCTGTCGTTTACGCGTTTTTACTCTCAAATTCCGAACTCGCACATCTCTCGAACACTTTCCCGTCGCACTCGCGGTATACTCACCCCCGTCCTTTGCGCAATGCGCATAATAATACCGACTGTTGTCGGTGAAATTTGTTTCCAACGAAATTCCACGCTGTAGGGGTCCACTAATGGGGCAAAGCACCCGTATAATATCCAAAAGCATTTTATCGGGTATTTTGTCACGGAGTTGTGCGCAGGAAAAATATTATAATCTCGACGCGTTTCGGCCCGAAAAATATATTTATTTCAAATATTGTTATTTATAGAATAGGTTTAGATTTTATATATAATCTAATAATAACTTTCATTCCAATCATCGTTTATAATGTATTATTTTAATGTACTCGTACAGAGTGTACCATACGTGAAATCATTTTTCTCCGTCCTCCCTCGTTAAGTTGTGTCCGTTTAGAATATTGTATTTTATATAAACTATTAACTATGTAATATAGGGTATATTATAAGGACAATATTGTATAATATTATATTTAAGTTTCTAACAATTGTACAACTACATTATATATGTATACATATATGTATTGATTTGAAATAGACGAATAAAATACAATATACACCTAACCCATAAAAAAAAATTGTCGTGATTGAATTTATTATGCCCTTAACTGGAATGTTTTACCTCGCGCTAAAATATTATACTATTTAGTATGTTACACACGCGTATAACTAGGGAACGGATTAAAAACGTCGAAAAACCCTGTAAAAATATTTTCAACAGCAAAATTAATTTTAAAATTCTTTCCTCAAACGGCTCTAATTTATCGAATATATATTTTCAAGTAGTAGACAATTGTATATAATAAATTAGAACCGTTAGAGGGGGGGCTTTTAAATCCCTCTACCGTGTTTGCATTTTTAAATATTTTTACAATGCTTTTAACTTTTCCAAGCGTTTTTTTTTTACGAATTTTCAGTGCATATCCGTCCCCTAATTGTACAATTTTAAAACGTTATTATTTAACAACCGCGCGAATTTTTATGTTTCGAAAGAAAATCGAGCAGAGAACAATAATATTTCACTGTTTATCAATATTTCCAAAGAAAATATAGGTAAACGATGACGTAAACCATAAAAAATGATGTGGAGAATTGACTATACGAGGAACTTTGACAAACGCTATTAATTTATATTTTATATACGATTTTTACGACGTTACATTATTATACAAGAACTCGATATCACTCCGTAAGGCCGTTTAGAAAAGGGCCTATTTTTCCACAGACCCTACAGTTTGGAGCAATTTCCACGGTGCCCCCACATGAAAATATCGAGTTCCCGGAAAATTCCAGATGATTTCTTATAATTTTTAAGACAAGTTCGTATGTTGTACGAATTTGTCGTACTTAGTTCGTGTGTTATCTGATACATTCGTATATGATTAGGATTACTCGGAGTTAACAGCGTTAAAAAAGTCGTTTGATTTAAATGCCGTAAATTAACTTTTTCTTTTTCTTCTGTTCAACCCTATTAAAAGCCTTTTAAAAGCTATAATTTTTACTAAGAATTTTTTTTCTCAGACAACAATTCTTTTGTTAGTAAAAATAGTCCATATTTTACACGTCGTACTTTCAAATGTGTGGATTTTTCGTCCTGCGGTAATTTTGTTGATACATTTTTTTAGATTCCAAATAGATTATCTAAACAATTTATAACAATTAACAACAAATAATAATATATTGATCTTCTTTTATTGATTTTTGGGTTATCTTTACTACACAAGAAAAAAACATGACTAATACCTTACCAGACTACTTAGCTCCACTCAAAACAATAATTTACTGTAATAATTAATCATTGTTTTCAGTATAGAAACCAAATAATATAACTTACCAATAAACTTACTAATAAAATTTATCTTATTTCCTATTCCTTCGAAACTTTATACCTATTTATTTTAAAATAACAGACTATCAGCGCCATCCGTTAGCTACACGGTCATGAATTTGTTGGTCGCCATTTGTTGGTTCAATTATTCATAATACTTAATGTGATATGCGCCTCTGTATATGCTTTGGCTAGGAGTCTAATTTGATAATAAAATCCGCGTGAGAAAGTTTTTTTTGCAGCTGATAAGGGATAAGTTATCATTCCGTATCCAATATATTATCGTAATTCGTGATTATAATTTGAACACTCTTCGTGAGTTATTCGACGATTGAATAAATCGAATAAAACGCGCGCACGTAAAGAAATTATCGATTATTATTATAATTATACCTACTGGTATCGAAAAGAAGGGAGCACTTTGGGACCAAATTCAATTCTAGTCGGAATTTTTTTTTCTCTTAATCAACTTTTTAGAATTTAATTAATGTTTAAACATGTTTTTCAAACTGTATTCAATACTATATACTAATAATATATACAAAACAAACAATTTCTATTGGTATATTATTAATTATTATTGGTATTATAACTATATATTATACATTTATATACATTATATTTTTAAATACATTTTACAAAATTATGGATTGTCTTCATCATCATCATATTTGTCTTCATCGGTGTCCTTTGTTTACCATCATCTAATCGATAAATGTATATCTAATCTCAAAAACTCTATCTATAGCGACCTATGGCGGACAAAAGTAATTCGAATATATTAATAAGATGTTTAGTAACATACAAATGTGTATTTCGGAGATCCTCTATGTAATTCTTTTTTTCCGCGGTCCAATCAAAAGAAACAAATCTGTTTTTATTTCAGAAGGTATTGTTTGATTATTATTTAATAAGAGTGTCTTTACATACTAGTGTAGTTCTATTGAATTAAAGCCCATACAGTTATCTTTGATTTAATGTATTTACAATAAAATGTAACGAATGGACAATTAAAGGTTTTAACAGTGATTGAAAAACCATATACATTTCTGAAATAATAAGTATTTTTATGAACTTATAAACCAATAAATAAAACATATTCATGGTACCCACATAGTTGGATGAAGATAGAATTGATCGTCGTTTTGTCCGGCTATAATTGAATTTTGTCCCACTGTGGGCCGAAAACGTTATTGTACCCGTTGCAGGCTACCGGAAGAAAGGCCGGAAACGCGTTTTGAACGCAAAAGCTGCGAGTAATTTCCCGCACTTTCTCGGAACTGTTAAAACTTCCGTTGACATCCGAAATATGTATTATACGTGAATAAAAAAAATAATAATAATAATAACAAAAAACAAAATAGAAACTACAAGCGTGCAGAAAACTGCGAAGCTCGTCCGGGCCAAACGCCTAAAAACCTAACCGTGGTTATTGTATGCGCAGGTATCCGCTGCCGTACTGGGCATTCGTGCCGACGTTAGGCGTTTGGCCGGACGCTCGGTCCCGCGACGGGACTGTAGCCACCGTCCCGTTGCCGCCCGCGTCCGGAGCCATCGCCGTGAACTTGGCCAACGGCGAAGTATCCGTGAAGGATGTCCGATCGGAAAACGCGGAAGCGGTTCCCCCGATGCAGCTATTGCAGATGGCGGTCAGGCGGCAGCACCCGAATACGCCGAGCATCGGCGGCCCGAGTTGGCTGAAAAAGACCACTGCGGCGACGGCGACGGCGACGGCGACGACGACTACGACGACAACGACGACGAAAAAATCGACGACGGATCCTGCGACGCAGACCGGAGCGGGGGTCGCGTCGCACGGGGTCGCGAGACCTGTCACCAAAATATACTTGAAACCGTCGGCCAGGGCCAAGGCCGGCACCGGCGGCGTGGCCCTGTCTAACCCGATAAGCACGGCCGTGGTCCGAAGGGGCGACACGGTAAGCATCGAATACTTACCGGACGCCACGGCGGAAGCGGGTGACGGCGGCGTGGCCATATCTCGACCCGAACTGGTCATTCATCTGGTCGACTAAACGCCCCCTGTAGCTGTGTCCGGAACGCGACGCGATCACTAAATTGTGCCATTTTTTTTTTTGTACTTTTACTATTTTTAGTTGGCCCGAAATCAAACTTGTTTTTTCCTTAGCTTTTCTTTTTGTATATTATATTTTCCTTTAATCGGGTTTCGTACATAATTGTAATGATTTTAAAGCCAATATTATTATTGTTAATCGTATAGGTATACTGGCTAACTTTTATTTTATAGGAACCTACGAGCCCCCCCCCATGTAAAATTCACGAATTCATTATTTTTATACTTAGGAGTATACTTTAACGATAAGTATCTTCGGTATAGGTGCAAATATAATGGGGTTTATGTAATACTCACCCCTAACATAACCAAGCGCCCAAATCAAGTCCTTATCGAGTAAATATTAAGTGTACACACAATCAATGTTATATGGCGTTTGGCCCACCCCTGAAAAATTTGTCCCATTCGTGCCGCCTACGCTCTTCGGACGGAGGGTTTTTATAAATTACTATTTTTAATGTACGTAGTTTTTGATTTTGATTTTTAATTTTATCTTTGATATGTAAATAGTACATTATATATTATGTATAATAATACGCAGTACGAATCACTAGGCGTAATATTATATGCTTCCGAGTAAATTTTCCTTATTGTAAAAAGCACACGAAATTCGATTTTAAGTACCTGTATTATTATTGTATTGATATTATTCTAAATAACGAAAATTTAAAAACATTACAATTATTTAACATTCCATCGATTATAATATTGTTTTAAATACTGGGCGCTGCGAGCGATGTATTGGTTTTACTAGAAAGTGCTTTTTTTCTGTTTGTTAACAACTTTTCTACCGGAAACTATGCTCCGATTTTCAAGCGTAGTGTCTTTTCTGAAGAAAAATTTCGGCTTGTTCGTACGCTGATGAAATCAATTTCCGATTTGTATTGTAGTTTTCTTAATGATATGGAAAACTCGGGAAAAAAATAGGCAATTTTACAATAATTACGGTTTCATTATTTTCGATTTATAGGAATTTTTTCATTATATAAGTCGTACTCATGAACTTGGTGGTTATAAATAAAAATCTGAGCTTAGGTACGTAGTAGATTTTTTTTTCATAAACGTTTTAAGTTTAAATTTTTACAAAGATCGTAAGAATCACGACATTTCAAAACATGTTTAACCGAACTTTACTCAGAGTCGTATTTCATTAGCAATGATTTATCATTGCGTGCAGATATAATTAATAAAGTTATTATACACATCTTACCTTCCATACTTAGCAGTGGTCTATTCATGAACAGTATTTTCTATACGAGATATAGAGTTAATATGTAACCTGCCTAACCTGAACTAACTTTTAGATTCTGAGTGTAGCTAGGAATGTATTGGTTTTACAATGATGTTTATTTTATTTTACTTTTTCCTATGGACAACTTTTATACTAACGATTTTGCTTCGATTAACAATAACAGTATTGATTCTAAAGGAAAATCTGACTAGAGAGATACTTTAAGGAGGTCATTTTTTGATTTCCCTAGGAGTTTTCCCAATAAATTGTAAAAACCCGAGAAAAACATAGGAAAATCGGAAAAAGCGTAGGGAAAACGGGAAAATAGGTACCATATTAAACAAAAATTACTAAAGAAAACATACAATATATATTATGTAATTAATTTACCATAATATGGCATATATATTGTTAACAAAACAACACTATCAGCCGAACTCCGCTCAGAATAGTTTTTTTCGTTAATCGTTGCTTACAGATATACATTAAATTTACCCTCTACCATCCTCACCATCTTCTCGTCTATAATAGTAACTGCACCCGTCCCCATTATCCTAAGGCAGCTATTTTTTTTTTGTTTCAGTTACTTATATGCTATACATTATGACATAAATACCGTCGCAATATATTATAGTAAGTGTAAAGAATACCGACAAAATTGTATTTACGCTTGTGAATGTAATCTCATGTAATCATTAATTAAAAATAAAAAAATAAAAAAATTTGTTTGTGTACCAAAAAGTTGGCAGCGCATGCTCTCGCGAGCAATTTTCAAGTTGTAAACTGTAATCATAGAAATATCTGTAATATAATTATAATTTTTTATCGAGTGTTTAGACGATCAATATGTATACAAGAATATGTACTTTACGCAAATTGTGCGTTTATAATATTTGAATAAATAAATAATTTAACTGTCGGAAATATTAGTATTTACTTAATCGTTATTGTTAATCGTATTATAAATTATGTGAAATTCGAAAAAATACACGGGGACAAACTCGGGAAAAAAACGCCGCAGGACGAAGTGAGGGGTTTGAACAAAAACCGTATTTGCATAGCTGTAAATAATAATGTCGTTTCGATTTTATGTGTGGTTTTTTTAATTTATTTTATTTTTGGAGGGTTTTATTATGAACAACTTTTCTATCAGATATGTCGCTCCGACTTATAAGTGTCTTAAAGGCAAATCGCATCCAGCCGATACGTTAAAGAGGTCGTTTTTTGATTTGCTTTGTAGTTTTATAAAATAATCGAGAAAACCCGGGGGGGGAAGCGTAGAAAACCCGGGAAGACGGTAATTGTTTCATTATTTTCGATTTAGTTGTGATTCAGTTAAAAATAATCGTAGAGAGCAGAAATTCTCACAGAATACTTGTATGTTAATCCGACAATTTTTTTTATATTTTTTATTTTTTCAAACTATAAAAGATACTCTGTATATTTTCGAGGGGTAAGGGAGATGTGTGAAAGATTATACCTGTAATATAATCGCATAATACGTGGTGACGGACACGATGAACAATAAATTATGCTAAAAATGTGATCTCAATACTCCGCGTTTGATAAAGCGCATCACAGAAAGCATTATTGTGTTGTGTTCGCCATCGCAAGGTTATCCGCGTTTTTTGCTTAATTAGTTTTCTTTCACGATTACACGGTGTTTAATGGTGTCGACGATCGTCTTGAACGAAATCTTAAACATCATCGTTGGCTAGATCAGGGTCTAGAACGAGACGAGACGAGCCGTTTCTATTATTATTATTTTCCATTGTATTAAAAAGCATTATAATAGCGTGTAGATGACTTATTATGCTCAAAACATTTTACAACATCCATATACGTCTAACGTTCTAAATAGAACGTTATCCAAGTTGAAAAAATTATTATTGACCGTTTATCTGCTGTAGAAAACTCTAAACTATTAGTTAAATAGTTACAAAACGAACAAAAATACTATATGATTTTTTAGTAAAACGGAACTGCACAATTCATCCTTGTAGTTCGAAATAGCTGCAACACAACAAACACTTTTATACCATCGTTATAATAGTAACAATAATATTACTTTTTAGGTTTTATTATAGTAACGTTTAGCTAATTTTTCGCGTTTCGCACTGACATTATGATTATATTAATTTAATAATGTAATTTATGTGATATTTAGTAATTTTTATTGTATTTTAGTAAGTATAGGTATACAGAAATATAAAAACAAAATGCATTCTTTCGGAAACTGTACACGGTTTTCGATATTTGTCAAGACACTCATATTATCACGGACATTTTTACTGGTTTTTATTTTTTTTTCGACAATTATGTATTACACTGAAATATTACATTTTCTTTGTTTACTTTCACATTTATTTTCGGGGGTGAAATCTGTATCTACTTTTATTTTTTAAATAGTACCCCATATAGGTATTACGAATTCCATGAATTGATGGTGTTTTAGTTTAAAATGTTTAAATATTAAATTCCGATGATGACATTTTTTCGTTAACCCGTTTCGCTTTTAAATGTAGGTAAGAGCGGATTAGTGGAGCATCATTTGCAATGAGTTGATGAAACTGAAAAATAAAAACACCAAAATAAATTTGAGCTAAAACATCGTCTATTTATATAGAATGTTTAATATACGTTTCTATTTGAAAATCAAAAGCGGGTAGTGGTTTCACTTTCAAAAATAAGAGCGATAAAAAATAACGGCAATATACCATTAGAGATGCTGCAAAATCGCCGAAAAACTTAATACTTTCTGAAATCATGAATGTACTCTGCCAGGCTCATTGTGGCGTCTACCAGATAAACACTGATCGACCGAAGGGATTCAACTTAAACCGCCTCACAAGTATCCGTTTGATTATTCGGGACTCGATCCAATAATGGCGCCAATCTCGGGGTCTTATCCCAGGTAAATCTCTCGGCACTTTCTGGAGGCTGAGCGAGTGGTTGATGCTGATAAGTCCTTGAAAATTTTAACGTATATTATAAAATCAGAAACTGTTAATTGTTCGCTTTTTTGGTGGGCGGGTGTTTGTAAATTATACTTTACCCCAACAGTTAGAGCGTATAGGGATGGGCGCCACTGGCTCGATTTTAATATGTTTTAAAGTCTTATGGAAACGTTATGTTTTTAGGATATTGTATACAGACAATAAAATATCAAAAATAACCCGTTATAAAACTTACCTATTCTGACATTTCAAAACCGTATACATTTAGTGGATAATTTATGCACACGAAGGTAATATTATAATACCACGAATACGAATATATTTGAATAACGTCATAATAGCTAATATTGTATATTATGGCTATAATAATAATAAAATAAAAAAAATACAAATTTCTTAGATGTTCTTTATAAATATTATCGCCATCGGACGCTGGCTCGTTGCCATTTTTTCGGACCGAGTCCGATCCAGAGAGACAGGGAAAAAAAAAAGTCCATTAACAGTAAAGATATAATTATATTTCCGGTGTGTCCGCTATAGCCGCGATTTATTATAAGCGACTGAAAACGTAAAACGTTTTCGTTACGAATTTTCACGTATTATTACATTAATATAATATTATTACTATGCTGTGCGAACGTTTTTTGATCGGTCGCCAAAAACCGTTGGCCCGATTCGCATAGAGCCGTGCCTTGTCGAACAACAGTTACATTTCGTTCCCCCGTCATCAAACAACGCGTGGTGAATTAATATTATGTCGTATACCGAAATAGGAATTAATCGAGAACAAAAGCAAAAAAACAAAAACGAACCCTTTTAATCGCGATTGTAACTTATGTGGTCGGAGATTCCATGTAACTCACTGCTGCGGGTTAAATAATCATATATCATGTTAAATCAGTGGCACATTTAGAAAGTTAGTTACGGGAAGGGAGGGGGTGTGAGGGGGGTTATGATAATTGTCTCGATAAAGAGTTTTTCGGGATTTTATAGACCCGACCGTCTTATCAACCCCGACAGTGATTGCATGACATTATACTTTATGCCTAACACAAAATCGAATTTTAATTTCGCGGAACTTAATTCGTCCGATGAAATTTTGATGTTTTAATGGCTCGAAAATAGTAAAAAAAAAAAATTTACAAAAATAATCGTGTAACTGTAGAATTGTTAAGTCTGACTACTGTATAAACAATACGATATGACTACGGTAGACTTTAATAGTATGTCGGTATGTCCATACACTTCTTAAACGGTAATAACCGTAATGACTCGCTCAACCGCGGCCCGCGAGGTTGTGGGGGAATCGTCTTAATCGCACAAGTATAATGATCGTACAAGTATCACGATAATGTACGTACAGGGTATACACCCATTGTATGTACGACATTATACATTTGTACAAAATGGGTAAAATATCTTCGTGAGACGTCCTGTATAATCGTCGAACGATACGGTCCGTGACGCTTTGAAATCGGCAAATCTAATTTTACTGTAAACAGCCCATTACTATTTTTATTATAATAGTATCGTGCTGTCATTCGCCTCGACATAAAAAAAAAAAAAAAATCATATTCACCAACGCGATAGTATTTTACGCAAACACACTGCAAACACGATCGGCCGTAAAAATATTTGAACACCACTTTGCGACCGCTCGTTTTTGTTTGCCGAAAACGCGGCGAGCGGAAATACAATTGCGCACAGCGCTCGTCGTCTGCAGATTTGAAATCTGTCCAGTTCGTTCGCAACGGTCACGGGCCGACGGCGGGTGGATGTTTAAGAGACCTTCGCGTAGTTTCCGCAGTCTGTCGCAGTGTAGTTAAGTCTTTGAAACGCAAAAAAAAAAAAAATTGTTGATCAGACGGGAGGTTAGTAACGTATACGACCGGCCGCTATAGTTTAAAAGAGGGATTAATGGGGGGGGGAACAAACAAACGTTCCGGTATGACGATTTTCAATTTTGCCATTGCACACTGCCATTATTAATGAGTAGGTGTCTACCTACCGCACAAAGTACACTGCGCAACCTGACAGGAGGTCAGCACTGAACACGCGAGTGATTTGACGCGACATAAAATGCATTATTTACCATTATCAGCGGTACTGATAGTTTGATCGCTAATTTCATCCGATGACTATTAATCGAAACTTTGTTCCTGCGTAAATAGTACATTTTTTTTTTTTTTTTTACGCCCCGTAGGTTATGCGTCCTCCGAAACCCCGGGTACCCCGGATACGGCTGTACTATAAAGTGTACAGATTAATATCGTCAGTAAACAGATTGTCGAGCAGACATTCTTTTCCGGTAATTGTATTGCTATAATATTATTGTGACGCGAACACATATTAGTGCAAAACTAAAACGCGTCGTGTTCAAGTAATTTTAGAAAAATCATTCCGGCCTACACATTCTGGCGACAATTATTTGTCGTGTGCGTTTATCGTTTTCAACGCGGATTGCAATGATGATGACTTTGTATCATTAATTTCAAACCACTCATAAGGTACACGGTTTTACAGCTTAGATTGATAAATCCCAGGCGTCGGTTGTGGACTTACGGTAAACCAATTAGGCGACCCCACAAAGAAAAGTTCATAAAAAATATGCGCCTAAAGCTATGATTGAACTTAATCCGCCCCCGTCTGTCCGAAATCTTCACTCGACTAATACACGCGCATGGACTGTAAAACATTGTTTCGCAATAAAATGCACAACACTAATATGTAACGTAAACACTGAAATAATTCCACTTGTACTATTCGCAGGTATCTGGTCGAACACCGTGGATTCCCGGACGCCAGCGCCGGCGAGGAGGAGGCGCAGGCCGTGCCGTTTTACGGGGGCGGCAAGGGCAAGTATCTGATCATTCATCCGTCGGGCAGGACCACGGTGGAGGATCACAAACCCATGTTGGACGGGCCCAAGGACGATGACGAGGAGAACGTGGGACAAGAGGGCGACGGCGATTCCAGTTCCCCGTCCGAAGAGCCGCCCAACGAGTCCGTGAGCGTCAATCTGCCGCCGGACAACGCGTCGGTGGCCGAGGCCAAGCCCGTGGGTCTGGCGATAGCGGGCCCCGGCGGCGTGGCCTCCTCGAAGCCGGTGGCCACGGCGGTAGTAGGGCCCGGCGGCTTGGCTCTTGCTAAACCGGTGGCCACGGCCATCGCCGGCATACCCGGCGCCGAAGCGCTGGTTGGCGTAGCCGGCAGCGCGGCCAAGCAGAAGTCTAAAGTCGCCATCGCGGCGACCACCACCACTTCGCCGCCGGCCAAGAAGACGGTCCCCGTTACCAGCGGAAAGACCAAAAGGTCCGCCTTGCTCCAAGCGCCCGACAGCAGCGTAGCCATGATTTGGCCCACGTATCCGCTGTACAAAATACCCGAGTCGCACTCTTGGGGATTCATTCTCAGACCGGTGCATTTCAGCTCTCAGGCGAATTGACGAGCATAACCGCCGACAGTCCTTGCCAATCGATTGCGAAAATATTATTATTAATAATTATAGAGCGTTAATCTATTTATTTTATACGATTTTTTTTTTTTTTGCCCGCTATCTCGATAATTATTATATTATTACGCAATCGATAACGATGACTTTTTATTATTCATTACAAAATATATCTTCGTACATTATTATTATATTAAATCGCGTTTATATATTCTGTACTATACATACGGTTAATGAATATTATTATAATTTTTGATGGAAAAAATCAATCAAAAAAAAAAAAAAATAATAATAATAATATATTTATTTATATATATTGTAATGATCGTACAAGGGATTAAACCCGTTTAAGAATACTTAAAATTACGTTTATTTGATATTGATAATAATAAAAAACAAATAATGTATTAAATTCCGTATTGTATCGCAGACTCGTTATGATGTTATTACGTATTATGTATTTATGTACAATGTGCGTACTCTAAACTTACACTTTAAACACGTGTACACTTATTAAACTTATATAGTAATTATGTAATCGGCGAAACGGATTTCTCGTGTTTATTTAATTATTTACTTTTGGAATAAAATATGCATTATTTATTCGTTTTTTATCTGTTCCGAATAATATTATGGTGATTTACGTGTACACAAATATTGTACTGTATGTGTAATTATATTTTTCTTATCAATTTCAAAAATAAGTTTTTACCCAACATCCGAGTAAAAATCTCAATAAAAAAAGAGCTGATACTAAGGCGTACTATTGTTGTAATCGGAAGTTGCGGAGGTAAGAGACATCAATAAAGTTCTTCATTTCATATCTACACGCAACGGTAAATCATTATTGCTAATGAAAAAGAATTATATGGAAAGTTCGATTAAATATGATTTGAAATACCGTAAATTGTATGATTTTCGTAAACATTTGAACTTGAACATTTATAAAAAAAAAACTACAACATCACCCTTAACTTTTTTTTTTTTAACCACTAAGCACAATTTATTATGAACCTCGTATTAAATTTTCAAGCATTTCTGTTCAGCCAAACAATTTCATACACATAATATCTACTAATTAAAAACTAAAAACCTCGAAATGTCAAATATTTGTAAATGTTTTGAACATTTTGCCACGTCTAGAAAAATAAAATATAAAATTACTCAGGCCTCGTTGTATATACACTTGATTTCGGTGCCGAAATAACCACGAGAAATTATACTTCATGTCTACAGTTATTTAAATAATATTTTTTTTCATACCAATTTTATTTTTATTTTAAATATAGAAAAACTAAAATAAGATCATATAAATATTAGGAAATTGTTTAAAAAAATTAAAAAAAAAAAAAAAAACCATTTAGTAAAATTTCTCAAATTGTGTATTCTGGCACCAAAATCAAATTAACTGTACCAACGGGATACGAGTACCGAATACCGGAAGTACGAAAACACATTTTTGCCATATCGCTTGTTCGACAGACGTCGTAATCGACGAATACACACGTTCAGTATCCTATGATCTAAGTGTTACTTCATTAATACATACAGATATTGGTGGGTAGATGGTTTGGTAACATAATTTGGTGGTTATTTATTTAAATTTATAACATTACGGAGGTGGAATTAATTTGTCTGTAATTATTTATAATTTATTATATTCTACTAAAAATATAACTTATAATTATAGTAATCGTATATATTTAAAAATGCGATGAACTCTGTAACTACTCAACCGATTTTGATAAGATATGGCTCAAAATGTGTGATTTGGTCCAATTTTATAAGATAGGAAAGTCTTCAACTTTCCATTTTCAATCCCACGAATTATATAGGGTTTTTTTTTAGGTATTTTTGATACGAATATCTAATTGTTTATGTAAATTTATTTATTTTTGTTTATTCGTGAGTTACCTTGGTGATGCTGATGATAATTTGGTCGTCACGGACAAGTAAACTACTATTATTAATATTTACACTATTACAATATTTATCTAGCAATAGCAAAGCATTGCTAAGGCAGCTAGTAATAATATATTTTATGAAAATGAGTGAGTGGATCTTCAAAAATATCTTCAACAACACGTATTTTTTTGAGGATATCCACCACTGCACACGTTCGACGACCTTTTGTATACATAGTTTTAGACTTTTATATTAATCGATTACGTTCCAATTCCCATGTGAATTTATAGTTTAAAAAACAAACGGATAGCTGGATAGTGAAACGTTTTTTCGTTACGCATCAATTATCAACTGCAGGCATGGCTTAGAGTCCACTGTATTAAACGCATTTAAAAAATAAAAACAAAACGATAAAACGTTTACGTTTGCGTACAGATATACATTCAATTTTCCCTCTTCCTTCTCAACTTCTCACGTACAACAATAGCCCACTCACGTGTGAAGTATGCCCGTCTTTTATTAATTTGTCATCATCAGGATGGCTCGACATAAAACCATGTACAAAATATTATGATCCTTCATTTGGATCTAAAAATAATAATCCAAAATTATGTCTAATCCATTGAACTATTTCAGATGGCGTATCTTTATAATCTACAGATAATCCAAAATGTTGTATACTTATCCACCAAGCTTTAGTCAAATGTAATGTTGAACCTACTATTTTAGTATTAGAAGTAAATCATTATAAATTTGTCTAACATAATGATTATACTATTCATATTACTATACTGGCCGAAAACGGTAACGCCCGAAATTTCGCATCTTTCAACGTACGGTGTGGGAGCATTTTTAAAATCTGAAAAATGCATTTTAATAAAAAAATAATACAAATTCTTCGCTGCACTCTGAGGTATAAATAATTTTAGTTAATCACCATAATTTAAATTTAAATAAACGAAAAAAAAACGCCTAATTCGAATGTTTTACATATTTTATAATTTAAACTGTCGCTTAAAAAGTAATATAATTTTTTTTTTGATTAGATCCACCGTTATTGCCTGTATACGAGTATAAGTGCATTTTATACGTATTATTAGAGTTTTGTGATTCTGTGTTTTCGCCGAAAAAAACTTGTTTAAATAAATTTAGATGCGATTATTTACATATGTAGGTAGATTATTTAATATAATATACGGCACTATAAACAGGTCATTGTTCGGAATTCCGAGGTCTATGGGTGCCAAATGGTCTATAAATTTAAAAAAAAAAAATCACCAAACTATTAACTATCGTTTAAATTTAAATTCTGAATTATTCCATCCAGTCAATTCATTTATAATACGACGAAAATAGAAATGTGTAAATAATAATAAAACGCTATCCTGCGCGCTAAAGTGAGCTAAGAAAGACTATAAATACATAAAACAGACATACCTACAGTAACCGACACTGAATAACGCCCATTCAGAGGTACCTCGCATTTATTGTCTTAGTTACAATTGCACATTATTCGCATTCGTGTAGGTATAATAATAAATCATAATGCGCATAGCGCGCATTCTATACAATACGCAATAATTTTAGATTCCGAGTGTAATGAAGAACCTATTACGGTTTTACTACCGTACAATTGGATAACTTTGATAATTTTTCTCTGTTTTTTTTTTTCATTTATTTTTTGTATAACTTTTGTTAAAATAAATAAACATACATTTTTATAATTAGCTTAGCCCAATTATATGATTTTCTTTAATAATCTAACAAACAATTTTTGTAAAATAATTTTATCTCATAGGTACATCTGTATTGTTCAATGTAGCTATCAATGTTCTGGGGTAATTTTGATACCCGTTTTCTTTTTCATTATATCATACTGTATGATGGTAAAACTATCAATGTTGTCAGAAAAATAATTTTCTGACTTAGTTTTTGAGATATTTCAATTTTACATGGGTAGGGTAACTTTGATAATAATATAGTTTTATTAGACACATGTAAAGTAATAATAAATCCAACAACCCGACAAAACATTCAAAACGACAATTCATGTACGATGTCAACTGTTTATACCAATATTTTAATAAAAGAGTATCTATTATCAAAGTTGCCCCGTTTTCCAAGAAATTTTCTTTTTTACTTTTTCGATTGGTAAAAATGCTCAGATTTTGTCATGCCATACCATTAAAGATGCGAAATTTCCGCTCAGCGGTTCTTCACTTGAAATACTATATTAAATTTACAACAATTCAACCCTCCAACAGCGCTAAATAGGGAATGTATCAGCCCACCTAGTTTTAAGGGTTTCACAGACCCAAAACCATAAAAAAAAAATAGTTCAAATACACATAAATTTTATTAAAAACAAGTTTAAGATTTTTCACAGCCCACTGAGATTTTCTCAATAGCCAGTTAAATCCGAGCTTGCAATGCCTCCAGGACATTATTTTGGTTTATTTTCACGGAAAACATTTCTTTCGGTTATTAAAAATCCTTCAAATTTTTCGCATCGTAACTTAAAAGATACGGATTTTTCGCCCGGTGGTACCTATTTTATTTGAAAAACATTTCAATATCGTCAAAAGTTTTCCTTTTACAATTTTTTAAAAAACGACCATCTATTTTTAAACATTGGCTTCTTTTGTTGATTTCTGCGCTACCGTGGCTATACAAGGGAAAATACTACTAACATTACTCAGCTCAGAATTGTTTTTTTAATCGTAATGATTTATCGTTTCTTTCGGTACATAAAGTATTCCGAAAAACGTTTCAAACATTCCATCTGCATCAACAATTCAGCCAGTCTGCCCATGGTGCGGAGTACGTCCGGCTTTTTAGATTCGACACAATTCTTTTGGACACTATTGAAAAGTGTAAAACAGTATATACATATATATATATATATATATATATATATATATGAGTATTATATATATTCTATAGAATTTAACAGCAAAATAAAATGCGAAGGAAAAAGTATTCGTTCCGATACCAAACAAATATGTGAGTACTGCAGGCCATAAATCGTAATAATGTCTTTAGGCAAAAACAAAAAAATCAGATAACCAAAGTGGAATTTCAAGGGTTGA